AGCCGCGGCGGGCTCGCCGCCCTACTCCCAGCGCTCCGGCCGCCAGCGGAGCCGCGGCGGGCTCGCCGCCCTCCCCCCGGCGCTCCAGCCAGTCGGGGAGAGCGGGCCCGCGGCCAAGCTCGGCGCCCTCCCCTGCTGCGCTCCCCGTGGGGGGGAGGGGCACGCGGCGGGAGGCTTTTTTGCCTGGGGCAGCAAAAAAGCCAGAGCCGGCCCTGGTGAGGCCTCCAGTAGGAGGCCTCAGGGCCTAGTCCACCCCGTCACACTAACTCACAGATTTACCCCCCCCTAATCAATTTGATCTCTACAGTGCAAACCAGCCCACAGGTATCAGCCAGAACATGCTTACAACTAGGACATATGGCAGTGACCACCTTTGTTGTAAGACATGCCAGACTACATATGCGCTGCCTTCATGAGTGGCTCAGGACAGTATACAGTACGCACAGACACAATTTGAACAAGTGTCTTTCAATGACAGTCACAGTCAAAAGCTTACTAGACTGGTGGACAAAACCCCACAAAGTATGTTTGTCACAGAATCACCTCTGTCACTAATATTGACAACAGACACGTCTCTGTTGGGTTGAGGAGCACGTTTGCAAAATTACAGAGTACATGTCAACTTCAGAGTCAACTTTATACATCACCCTACTGCAACTCCAAGAAGTCCGGAATGCATGTTCACAATTTTTATCACTGGTCGGAAACAAGGACATAAGGATAATGACCGACAACATTGCTTCCATATTTTACATAAACCATCAAGGGGGAGCAAAGTCACAATCTTTGTGTGTTGAAGCACTGAAATTATGAAATTGGTGCATTCGCCACAACATCAACATCTCAGTGACTTACCTACCGGGCGATTACAACACCACAGTAGACACACTAAGCAAAAAATTCTCACAGGAACACAAGTGGGAGATAGATACCATGATCCTATACAAGCTATTCAGATGTTGGGGATTCCCAAGTATAGACCTTTTTGCCCCACCCGAGAACATCAAATGCCCACATTTCTGTTCAAGAGCAGGACTGAGCTACTGTTCTCTGGGGGTTGCCTTCCTCATCAAATGGGACACACATCTGCTATACGCCTTTCCACCGATCCCCTTAATACCCAAAGTAATACGCAAAATAAAAGAGGAACAAGCCAGAGTCATCTTGATAGCCCCAACATGGTTCAGACAAACATGGGTCCCTTACCTTGTACGGATGACAGTATGCCCACCAGTCATTCTTCACCCTGTTTCACATCCCCTGTGTCAGGATGCAGGCCAGACTCGCCACCCAAATCTAGAGATCCTCCACCTGAAGGCATGGCTCCTGCATGGTTCCAGAATACTGAGATGACCTGTTCTGAAGACATAAAGGAGATACTATTAAATAGCAGAGAAGATTGACTATGCGGTCTACTTACCTGCACAAATGGAAGAGATTCCACATTTGGTGCGCCTCGGCTATCACTTCACCCTTGCCACTGATACTGGACTACATCTAGGGCCCTACCAAATTCACGGTCTATTTTGGTCAATTTCATGGTCATAGGATTTTTAAAATAATAAATGTCATGATTTCAGGTCTTTAAATCTGAAATTTCACAGTGTTGTAATTGTAGGGATCCTGACCCAAAAAGGAGTTGGGGGTGGGGTGGGGTTGCAAGGATATTGTAAGGGGGAGTTGTGGTACTGCTACTCTTACTTCTGCGCTGCTGCTGGCGGCACTGCCTTCAGTGGGCAGCTGAAGAGCGGCAGCTGCTGGCTGGGATTCCAGCTCTAAAGGCAGAGCCACCAGCAGCAGCAGTGCAGAAGTAAGGGTGGCATGGTATGGAATTGCCACCCTTCTGCAATGCTGCTGGTGGGGCGCTGCCTTCAGAGCTGGGTGCCCGTCAACAGCCACTGCTCTCTGGCTACCCAGCTCTGAAGTCAGCGCAGAAGTAAGGGTGGCAATACTGCGATCTCCCTAAAATAACCTTGCAACCCCCTTGTAATTCCCTTTTGGGTCAGGACCCCCAATTTGAGAAACACTGGTCTCCTCGTGAAATCTGTATAGTATAGGGTAAAAGCACACAAACGACCAGATTTCACAGTCCATGGCACATTTTTCAGGGCCGTAAATTTGGTAGGGCCCTAACTATATCCTAGAACTAAAAAAATCAGGACTATCCTCAAGTTCAATTAGAGTTCATCTCACTGCTGTTATGGCTTTCCAACGCAAGATTAGCGGACATTCAGAATTTACCCAGCCTGTAACAAAACGGTTCCTCACAAGTGTTTGGAACCTCTACCCTTGACAAGATCCCACTCCACCTTGGGACCTTAATCTGGTGCTACAATGCCTTACTGTTTGAGCCCATGGCAACCTGCTCACTCATACATCTATCTATGAAGATAACCTTTCTCATAGCTGTCACATCCACTTGAAGAGTGGGGGAAATAGTGGCTCTCATGATGTACCCGCTATATACAATTTTCTTCAAAGATAAAGATATATTATGATCACATGCAAAGTTCCTACCTAAAATACCTTCCTCATTCCACTTGAATCAGGCTATTTACCTCCCATCATTCTTCCCCAAACCACATGGGAATAAAAAGGAGTCCATGCTCCACATGTTAGACTTATATGCCAAAATTATTCCTTTCTGTTACTGAAAGATCAAAAGATTCAGCTAAATCTAAACAAAGGCTTTCAAAATGGATTTCCAGTTGCATTCACCTCTGCTATAGTCAATATGATTTGTAAACCCTCCCCCTGCCCAGGAACTCGAACACACTCCACGAGATCGATTTCCACCTCTATAGCCTTCCTGAACAATGTACCAATTACAGAAATTTGTAAAGCAGCCACCTGGGCATCAGCCCATACATTCACAGAGCACTATGCAATTGTGCAGGACTCGACATCGGATGCTCTCTTATGACTGACTGTCTTATCATTGCTCACGAATCCAACTCCAAAGCCCCATCCTTCCAATGAGGGGCACAGCTTTCCAGTCACCTAAAGTGGAGCACCCATATGGGACACTACTTGAAGAAGAAAGGGGTATTCACCCTGTGCAGTAACTGAGTTCTTCAAGATGTGTCCCCCTATGCGTGTTCCACTATTCACCCTCCTCCCCATTACTTTAGAGTTCAGACATGGACTATGCGGTAGAGAAGAAACTGAAGGTGGTTTGGCTGCAGAGTGCTATATAATCTCCAAAAGCAGCGCGAGATGGGGAAGCGCATGTGTGGTCCAAATGGGCACTGCTACTGAAAATCTCCAATCACAGGCGCAGAGAAGCAGACTCACATAAAGTGGAGCACCGACAGGGACACACATCTCAAAGAACCTCAGTTACTGCACAGGGTGAGTAACCCTCTTTTTTGATCTGGGGAATTTTCAGACTGTTGTGCTGAGCTACATGGGTACAAATTTCTTTTCATACTATGTATTTAAGTAACATTCTATCTAGGAAGATCTCTACTTTATCATATGCCTATTTAAAACACCTGTTTTTGAGTAGTTTTTTTGTTTGTTGTTTTGTTTTAGCAAACTAGAATGAGTGATTTGCACTGTCTGAATTTAGACACTTGGATTTGGTCTGGAAGGTAAGTTTGGCCATGTGCCACTTAGTTATAAATAACAGATTGGAACTATTTAACAGTAGGTTTTAATGCTATTATAGTAGCTTTTCTGGGAAGAGAATGGGAGGTTTTGAACTATTTCAACAGCTGTTACATTATTATTTCAATTTAATTTGATTTGTAGTGGTTACTAAACTGTTCTCTGTTGTGCTCCAAGGACCACTGATGCTATCAGGCAAATTTTCAGCATAGCTTTTAGTGATTTAGTTGCCTCATTTTCAGATATGGGCAAATTACCACAGATTATACTGAAATTTTACTTTCATATGTCTTTTTAACATTACAGTCTCTATAGGTCTTATGTTATGTAGATAAGACTCTTCTTTATAGTCTAGATTGGGGAAAGGTTTTAATGTATATCAAGACAAACATTTAAGGAAACCCCCAAGGAGGAGAATTTACAAGAGAAGAATCTTTCATAAATATTTCCTTTTTGATAAAGTTTGTCAAATTATTTTTTTGCTTCCTATTATTACGCTTGGTAGGGAGCATTTATGATAGCACCCACTAGATAAGAGGAGTCACTGTTTAGATATTGATTTTCATGTAGCTGTTTTAGACAAATAGGAACTGACGTTTGATGGCCATTGTGTCTGTTCTTCCCTATGTTGCCTAACTGTCATTTCATGCAAGGCAGGGGAATATAGTGTCTTTGAGTGTGTGTCCATGTGGATCCTACTCTAAGTGCACGTGTCTTTTGCACAAGATCAGAATCTTTGAACAACAGTGTCCTTTGGGCCACTCCTGCACCTGCATGGTCTTGCACCCCTCACCATCATCCAATGCAGAGCGGCTGTGATCACCCCCTCAGTTCCTTGTTGTCCATTGCAGCGAGACAAAACAACCAGTGTCTGCTGCTACCACTTAGTGGAAATTTCTTCTCCTTCGATATTTGTCATCTAATTAGTCAGTTAGGGTTAATTTCCCAGTCAAATCATCTTTTTTCTTTAACTTTTTTTTAAAACATTTAATTTTTCTCTGGTGCTTTGCATCACTATTGTAACCTACAGTGGCAGATTCTAAGCCTTTGGGCTTCTTGTGATGGACTCATTCCTTGGACTACAAGCTGTCAGGAACAGTATCCCTGATGAGGCCACAGCATGCCTGGTGGCTGAGC